ATAAGGATATTCTTAAAAGAATACTTAAATCAAGAAAATACAAAAAAGAATTTGTATATAACAAACTTACAAATTAAAAACTTCAAAATAATAACATGGCTCGAAAAATTGTTCAAAGCCCTCAAACCAACACAAAAAACTTTAAACTTGTTTTCTTTGTGAATTTTGTATGTGATTTGTATTTGTGTGTCTACTCAAAAAGATTGACTTTTTTATAGTAGAGTATCCATTAATTATTAATTAAATATATTATATAAGTTATAAAACCTTTGAATTGTTAATCATTATTAAGAGACTTTTGAGTGGTATTCATTAAAATAGGAGGTTTCAAATGCATGAGGTGGTTGCAAAATTTTATGGGGGTTTCAAATGCATGAGGTTCAAGGAAAAATGCTAGCTTTATAAGTATGTATGATATATATATATATATATACTTTTTTCAAGAAAGTATTATTTATGTATTATTATTAAATAAAATAGCCAAGACAATTAGTCATACATAAATGTAATCTTTGAACTTTGAAATCATCTTAATTATGAAAAACCAAAGAAAAAAAATCAAAATCTTAATACAAAATAAAAATCCTAAACCGATTGGGTTTATCAACAATTTAATGAAAGTATATGCATCCAAAAAAGAATACAAATTCTATTCCTAATAATTATATATAACAAAGTTTTTTATTTTTATAAAACCCATTAGAAATTAAAGAAAACAAATATAATAAATCAAAATCTAAGAAAAGTAAATGTCCAAGTAATGATGCCAATGAATCGTCAAAAACTGTTACAAGTCTTTCTCTTCGGGAAGTATAATTGAAAGTGTGAAAGTAGGATTAAATTCGCGAAAGCAAAAGTAACTCGAGCCCTTGAAATATATATATATATATATATATATATATATATATATATATATATATTATATATATATATATATTATAATATATATTCTAAGCTCTCTTTGTCGTATATGTATTGTATTGATCAAGTTGAGACAGTTGATCATTTATTTGTGGAGTGTAGGGTAGCAAAAATTTTGATTCAGAAACTTGGTCGATGGTGTGATATTGATAGTTCTTTGTTGATATCGGTTGGATATTTCAAGTCTTTCTTGGATGTGAAGCACTTGTCCTCTAGTAAAAGACTAGTGTTAGAGGTTATTTTTAACACAACCTGGTGGACTATTTGGAACTTCATAAACAGATGTGTGTTTGATCATACGAGACATAGACAAGATAGATTATCTGATGATATTGTTATTTTTACTTTTATTTGGGTTGTTCACCGGAAACATAAATTCCATATTTCTTGGAATTTATGACTCCAAAATCTTATTTTGAACATTTCAATGTAATTGTCATATATATATATATATAGATATATATATCTATATATATATATATATAGAGGGTTAGGTTAATTTGAGACCGTTATATTTTATTAGACATGGGGACGCAATCCTAGCTACTCATTTTTGAGATAAAAAAATATTTTTAAAATGCAAAATAATTGAAATTTTTAAAAAAATATATTATTTTCTTCATTTATATTTTCCAAAAAAAATAAATGATAAAGAAAAATAAAGAAAAAAATTATCGTTTTATTGAAATATCTGTGAAATATTCTATATAAAAATTACAACAAAAATTTTAGAATATTCACATATTCTACTAGAATATTACGCTACAAATATTCAAACAATTATAATATAATATTAGAATATTTTACAAATTCTAACAATTTTAGTAGAAATTTAGAATATTTTAACATATCTAACAGCTCTAGTAGAATATTAAAATATTCTAACATTCTAAAAATTATATTTGAATATTTATAGTGTAATATTCTATTAAAAATATTTTCATATATATTTCAAAAAAGCAGTATTTTTTAAAAAAAAATTTGGTAAATAAAATGACGAAAATAATAATTAAAAAAGAATATTCGGAGTTTTCCTATTATATTACATTTTAGATTTATTTATTTTTATTTTTTTATCTCCAAGACGAGTATAGGAATTAACATGGTTTTTAATGGACCTCTCTCTCTCTCTCTCTCTCTCTTCTCTCTCTCTCTTCTCTCTCTCTCTATATATATATATATCTATATAATATATATCTATATTATATTATATATATATATTATGGTTTTGTGTGCTTGTGTGTGTGTCAAGAAATGGCACCCCATTGGGTAGCCCGGACCCAACGACACGTCACCATTGGAAACATCGATTCTTTTTTTGGCATAATTGGATGACCAATTAAACTATAAAGACAAAGGGTTTGACTCTGAAATGGTAACTTTCGACTTTATCCCCATGATTATTGGAGTTTTTAACCAAAATAGGGTTATTGAAAAAAATATTTACCAATCTAGTATAGTTTGAAAAATATTTACCAAACTTTGTTGTTTTTTTTTCGTATTTTTTATTTTTCCTATTTCTTATTGTTTTTCTATTTATTTAAAATATCAGCTTTTTTACTTTTTTTTATTTCAGTTTTTTACTATTTATTTTAATATCAGTTTATTATTATTATTATTATGATTATTATTATTATTATTATGATTATTATTATTATTACTATGCATTAACATAAATATCTAACATACAAAAGAGCTTTATTATTTTGGTTCATTACATGCCTATTTGATTAATTTTTTTCTCCCATTATATAGTGATTACGAGTTTACTTTAATTTCTTACCATTATTTATCTTACATATATTTTAAACTTAACCCTTTTACAAATTTAAGTTTTTTCTCATGTCTTTATTTATACAAACTTTGCATACTTTTTAATTGAGTGTCTTTACATTATAAAATATAAAAAGCAAAAGTTTACATATTTTTTGTCTTTACATAAAAACAAATATGTAAAAACATAGAAAACAAATTTTAAAAAAAATCTAATTTGTAAAACGAAAGAAATCATAAAATACATGCATAAAACGAAATATGTAAAAAATATTTAGAAAACAAATTTCCCAAATCAATAAAACTATTATTCTAAAACACGTGAAAACAAAATTGTAAAAAAATATACGGACAAAATTTTATAACACAACTATTACTTTTGCTTTTTATATTTTATTTTCAATGTAAAGAAATTCAATTAAAAAGCATGCAAAAATTGTATAAATAAAGACATGAGGAAAAACTTCTTTTTGTAAAGGGTTAAGTTTTTAAAAAATATATATATATAAATAAATGGTAAGAAAATTAAAGTAAACTCGTAATCATTATATAAACGGTAGAAAAAAATTAATCAAATAGGCATATAATGAACCAAAATAATAAAGCTCTTTTGTATGTTAGATATTTATGTTAAATGTATAGTAAATAAAAGTATATAAAATTTAATAAAAAAAAAACTGAAACAAAAATAAAATAAAATAATAAACTGATATTTAAAAACAATAAATAGTAAAAAAACTGAATTAAAAAAAGTAAAAAAGCTGATTTTTTAATAAATAGAAAAACAATAAGAAATATTGAAAAATAAAAAAAAATGAAGAAAAACACTAGTTTGGTAAATAATTTTCATACTATACTAGATTCGTAAATATTTTTTTCAATAACCCCGTTTTGGTTAAAAACTCATGATTATTGACCCTAAACACCTTAGGCCCTTTTACCAAGTCTCATTACAAAATCTTTTAGTTTGGTGTATAAAGACTAATATAACTCTTAATGTGGTGAACAGGTTTGTATTTTTGAAGACTTTGAAATCATAAATGTCGCGTTAATTCTCTTTTTCCTTTATTTAAAATTTAAACTATGAAAACTAATTTTGTTAGAAAAAAATCTATAAACCCATTTATGTTCATCATCTCAGCCCAGCAGCCCCTCTCCCTTGATATGGGTAGACGCATGTGTATGCATGTCCTTCAACCACAAGTACATATGGCAAACGCTACATAAATACATAATATTTAGAGTATTGATAACAAGTCAAATAAATCAATAAATGAAATGTTTTAAACGTCATTGAAAGCAAAGTTAGGTGGAGGGGGCTAAGAGTAGTAGGCCTTGAAACAAGGTTTTGATGGTATTTCTTGGGGAAATGAGTTCGAAATTGAGTTAGGACTTGGGAGGCTGCTAAAGCTAAAAGGGTCGATTTCAAGTCAATATTGTGACGGGGGGAGGTTTGAGAGATTAAGAGAAAAGTTGTGGGTCAAAGATGTAAATTAGTCAAAGATTTCATTCAACTCCTCGGTGCTATCAGATTTTCTAGTCAAATAGTCTCAATAGTTTTAGTTTAGACCGTTGAATATTTGCAAAATCAAACAAGATTAAAAAGTAAAATTTCTATGGATGGCTGTGGCTTGATAATGACAAATACGTCAAAACTCAAAATATCCAAGTGTACAACCTTTTATGCATATATTATGCATATAGAACAAACATATTTGGAACATATCTTTGCATAATAAAAACATTGGACATTCTTCATGTGTGAATCAGATCATTTCTGGTCCCACAATAAAACCATCTTCAAGCTCTAATGCACAAAGTAAATTACCTCTATTGATACAAAGAAAACGAAATGACTGGATGTAATTAATCTTTACGTTTAAAACACCATAACCTATCAATAAAAGCACGATAACAATTATCTGCTTATAGTTGTGAAATAATATGATTTTAAATTTTTATATTATATCAAATAAGATATAACACAAATTTGTAAAAGCTAAATAAATATAAGATAAGACTATGTTGAAAATCTATATGTATATACGTTATAAACTAAGAAAAGGTTAGTATTGATTTTGTGGATTGAGATATATATATATATATATATATATATCTATATATATATATATATATATATATATATATATATATACACACACATTGTATGTTATGTGACTATGGGCTATGGGCTATGGGTTTATCTACATATAACAAATCTCATATATGAATCATGAATGTCAATACAAAAAAGCAGCCCAAGAAAATGTTATGCATATGCAACTTTTTTGTTATATTTATAATTGCAAATTGTACAAGTCTGTGTAGCTGAAAGTACACACCATGAAGCATTAACAATTGGCTCTAGATCTCATAGCTTCCCAAAAACATACAACACATATAGCATCAACGACCAATTATATTTACATCAATGTGCAATGCATTATGATTTATGCATGCATACTTAATTACTCATGAATCAATCATGATAGAGGGTCTGAAGAAGAAGCTCTTGGATGCTTGCATTCTTGCTCGGGTGCCAGATTCTCAGGGGCAGCTCTCTTTGGTCTCAACTGCAAACAGAAATGATAAGTTATGAACCGTCAATGAAGGGTATTTTTGTCTTTTTGCATTAGTGTGTGTGTGCGTGTGTTTTCACTTTGCAGATACATACACACCAACCCAAGTATAAACATGTCTCCTTGAGTTGGTGTATGCATTTTGTACACATAGAGACACTAACCCGCAAGGGCAAACTCGTCTTTTTGAGTAGGTGATGTATTTCTAGACATAAATACAGAAAGAATTTCACCTTTTCATCACCACGCTCATAGAATTGCCTCAGAAGTATGTTTTTGGCATCCGAAGATATTACTGCAAAAAGTACTTTCAAATTAAGAATACAAACTTTGTAAATCGTAAAAACAATTGATCTTGTGTTTATACATGCTTCTATAAAAAGTAAAAACAAAAACATTGGTGTAGGTGTAGCCATGTGAAAAAAAAAATTAAAAAAAAAAAACAAGAAAGGGTAGGATATAATTATATTACCTTGGTCAGGAGGTGGAAGAGTTCGTTCATGAGTTGGATGATATGTAATTGGTGTCTTCTTCTGAACAAAAAGCAAAGCAATGCTTTCGTGATTAATTGAGAGAATTGCCATCATATTATTGAACAAAGTAAAACTAATGTTTATCCATTTAGCTAATATAGAAGATAAGTTAATAAATTTGTATAAGTGTTAACTGTTATATCTTTAAAGAAGATGAAATCTCAATCTCTATCTATAGGATGCTTAAATTTCTCAATTTCAAGTATTCCCAAATTTGCATTTTTATGGCGTTTGCTCTTGATAATTCTATGTAATATGCATTTTAATACTCCAATTCCCACAAGTTTTAGAAACAATGTTCAAAGTGAAATTAATAGCAGAGATGTAAAATACATTGGAGTTGGACTATCTCCATGTTCATATCAGACACAATTAGCAAGCTTGTATACCCAATTTTAACCCTAATATGGACAAGAGCAAATCCTTAATATTTCCAATTTCACTTGGCAAGATCCTAAATCAGATTCCAGTCTAACATCAACAATTAAATAAACATCACCAACAATTTCAAAACAAGTATCATTCAATTAGTAAAATAATAGCATAGGAACCCCTAAATCAGATTTCAGTCTAACATTTTCATTAAACATACACCATTTAAAAAGCAGCATCGACATTACACTAGTTGTAAAAGCGATTCATTTAAAGAAAACCGACACTACTACAGATGCATTTAATGACAGGTCAACTAAGCCCGAAAAAACAAATGTTATGTTCAATCGATGATGATTTAGGGTGAAATTCATCCGTGGGGTTGTGATTTGATTACAAAGAAAAAGAAAAGAAGACGGAAAATGTGATGTGATTGAGATGAGAGCTTACGGAAGGAGCAGACGGATCGTTGGGGCGAAGTTGGCTGAAGTTGTGGGGGTCGAAGGAAGGCCAATTACCAACAATCCACGACCCCATTAAAATCGATTACAGTCCCACAGATTTCTCAGCCCCGATAATCGCAGTTTCTGGAGATGGACATATGAGGAAATTGATTGTTTAGGGATACTTCATACATTTTTGTGAACAGTGGCGTGCATTTTGGTCTTTGGTCACGACCCATTTATCTCGAACCAATAATATCTCTTTCCGGATTTGGCCCGATTTAACCAGTTGGCCATGGGTTTTATTGAAAAAAATAATGAATTTTCTTTGCATGTTTATAAATTAAAGGAGTAATGACAAAATTGGCAATGTCGGATTTTGCAATGTCATTAATTAGTCCTTAAACATCAAAACCTGTTAAATTAAAAATTATAATTTTGAATTTGTCATGATTTAGCTAATGAAACTGGCAAAAGTCCGTTCGCAACAAGCCATGTGGGATCTGATATGGCAAAAAAGGACACTTGGCCAAATTTAAACATCATCCATTTGTCTTTGGTATAGTATAACATCGTGAGCCTATTAATCCTTCTTCCTTTGGGTTCAAAATCACGTGCTAAGTATCCAAAATCAAAGGTTACAACCTATAACTTTTGAAGATGACATCATCTTCTAATCAGAGAATTAATAATCGTTTTTAGGATACAAACGTATGATGTGGGTGTGGATTTAAAATGAAGACTAAGACATCGTGGAACGATTTAAACCCTGACATGAGGGTAAGAGGGTATGTACCAAATACTTTTGTTGTTCTTCTTGATATAGAAGAGAGTGAAAATGTTAGATTTTTATTTTGGCATAGTGGAAAGTTAGCAGTTGTCTTTGGTTTGATGCAAACGTGACATGGGACACCGATTAAGATAATGAAGAATTTACGTGTTTGTAAAGATTGTCATGCTGTTTTGAAGATGATATCAAAGATAGTTGATAGGAAGATTGTTGTAAAGGGTTGCAATCGGTTTCATTGCTTTAAAAATGGTGAGCGTTCTTGCAAAAATTACTAGTAATTAATGTATGCAATTTGGTCTCCCCATTTTAGTCAATTACTTGTGCTATGTGTATTCAAATTTATCAAAAAGATTCAAGTTACATTGTGTAATTATTTAGTTTGGAAGCATCAAGTAGTAACCATTCATGAAGAATTTACATGGTGTAATTATTTAGTTCGAGTAAAAACCCCTCCTACAAAGATCAACAATGTTGTCCATGCAACCATAGTGTATTAGGTTGTGTTTGTTTTTTGACAAAACTTCAAAAATGGTCCATGTGGTTTTCGAAAATATCAAGTTTAGTCCCTAAGTTCAAAAAACCTCACAGATGGTCCCTGTGGTTTCAAAACTTTTAACAAACGGTCCTTCTCGCTAACTCCGTTAGCTTTTGGCCGTTAAGTGAAGGGTATTTCTGTCATTTCACTGCCACAGGAACCATTTATGAAGATTTGTCTTATTTTAAAAAAAAAACTAATTATTTAATATTAAAGGGACTCTCTCTCTCTCTCTCTCTCTCTCTCTCTCTCCCTAATTGGAAAATTGACCCGTACATCCACCCGACTCGTTTACCCCATTCCATTTTATCTTCATAGAAACAGGTCACGACCTTAATTGCTTCTCCAATCGCTACTCGATCATTTGGTTTGCGTTCGACTGCAAGTGACCCTGAAGGTCTACTATGGCTGCCTTTTCCTCATAATTCAGGAATCAATCTTCCTTCAAATTCAGCAACAGCAATCAAGTCAATCAAATAGGTGGAATCTCCGAAGAGTTCTAGAATCAAGGCCTGTTTAAGTTCATCATCTTCTTCGTTGTTGTTCCGATCTACAATCGACAAGATCATCACAGCATCGTCATCGGATTGTTTTCTTCTTCATTCTTCTCAATGAACTCTTGATCTTCTTCCCACTGAACCATCCATGATGTTCAGTGGCACGAGGCGGGCTAAAATCGTAAAGCACAATTCTCCGGAAAATACAACCAGATACTCGAAACAGGAGACCTTATCAGCCAGGTAATCAACTGCTAAAATTGAAAGGATGGGGTTTGCAGTGATGAGAGGTGGTTCTTTCTCTAAGACTAGACATGAGGTAGGTAGGTACTAGATGCGTGAGACTAGTGTTCGTTCGTGGGGATGTAAGCTTTCTTCTTCTTTTTTTGCTCTGAATAGACAGACTTTGAGGAAGGAAGAAGGAACAGTTGGTAAATAGTGATTTGGGGTGTACTTCAACCTTCCCCCACTACATCTCGTTTCTTTCTGAGAATGAATAAAACCCAGGACCTGATTAGCTTTCGGGTTGGTTTCCAAATACGACCGGTGAGTTAGTGGGTTTGTCTTGGGTACATCAAGATTCAGGTTGTCGAGAGAAGGGAAAGCTAAAAATAACGGAATCGGGTTTGCCTTTCGAATCAAAGTGAATGGAGAAGATGGGTATTCATATGACCTGGAAGTATGTATGTGTGTTCTTCAGATCTAGATTGGGGAAGAAGAACAATTTGGTGGGGGTTTGACTTTCTTTTTGTGTGAGAGAGAGAGATGTGGGACCCTTTATTTTAAAAAAAATATATATATATTTTTTAAATAAGACAAAGTTTCATAAATGGTCCTTGTCATAGTAAAATGACGAAAATACCCTTAAGTTAACGGTCAAAAGCTAACGGAGTTAGCGAGAAGGACCATTTGTTAAAAGTTTTGAAACCACAGGGACCATCTGTGAGGTTTTTTGAACTTAGGGACTAAACTTGATATTTTCGAAAACCATAGGGACCATTTTTGAAGTTTTGTCTTGTTTTTTTTTAAAAAAGCTTATCTAACCTCTTAGTGTTGCGTGGCGCAGCACACGCGCATCACTTTTAGGTTCGCAGCAGTTTGTTTTTCTGCAGACTTCGGGCTCAAAAACCTCTTCCCGTCCTCTTCCCCACACAGCAGTGGACTTAACTCTTCTAACCACTTCTAACCTCATCTAAAAAAACACCCTATGCCCTAAACAAAAAAAAACGTCGCTGCTCATCTCGTTCGTTCTCCTTCTTCTTCTCGGCATCCTTCCCAACGATCGATCCAGAGGTGGTCCGACTCCAGCCTCCGCTGCCACCCCATCGCCGGTCGTCGGTCGCCGTTCCCCTCAATCGCCGGTCGCCGCTGCTGCTTGCTGCTGCCATCTTGCTGCCCTCGATCTTCAACAGGTAACTTTTTTTTTTCTGATTTCTTATTGATTTGAGTACCGATTGTATGAATTTGAGTACCAATTTTTTGATTTCTTATGCATTTGAGTATCGATTGTATGAATTTGAGTACCAAATTTCTGATTTCTTGCAGCCCTCGGTTTCAAGATCAGGTAAGTTTTTTTTTTCTGATTTCTTATGCATTTGAGTACCTATTGTATGAATTTGAGTATCAAATTTCTGATTTCTTATGCATTTGAGTACCAATTGTATGAATTTGAGTACCAATTTTTTTATTTGAGTTAGGATTTTGTTGCTGAGATGTTACAACCTTTGTTCAAATCTTTGTTGAATGTAAAATTTATGATATAATTGTTCTTTAAACAGATTTTCTGCTGAAATTTATATTTGTTGAATGTTGAATTATGCTGAAATCATAAACTTATATGCAAGTTTACATGCTGAAATCATAAATCTTTGTTGAATTGGTCCACCTCTTTGCTGAAATGGTTTTTTTTTAAACTTAATTATTGAATTGTTATCACTTGTATTTCTTGAATGGAGATCAAGTTTATGTTTATATGCAAGTTTGTGCTTAAATTTTTAAACTTATTTGTTGATTGTGTTGTATAATCTTTGCTTATATGGTTTTTTTGTTCATTCATGATGTATTGTTGTTGAATATGCTAAACTTATTTGTTGATTATGTTGAAATATGATTAATCTTTGTAGCTAAAGTATGTATTCTATATTTTTTTTTGTTATTAGCAATGAGAGATAAACATACATGGACCAATGAGCAAACAAAATGCTTATTGCAAACTTATATTGAAGAAGTGCAAACCGTGGGTAGAAAAGGTTTGAGTTTGCACAAACAATCATGGCACAAGTTAGGAACAACTATTAAGGAAAAGTATGGCGTGGATTTGAATCAACGACAATTAAAAAAACGCCTATGATAACCTTAAAGCCAAATACACAGGATGATTATACTTAAAAAACAAAACTGGAAACCTTTACAATCCACAAACAAATGCTTTTAACTTAACAAATGAGGAGTGGGAGGACTTTAAAAAGGTATACATATATATATATATATATATATATATATATATACACACACACACATATTTATATGTATTTTGTTTATATAGTTGCCATTTATTCTTATATTACTTTTGTTACATTGATTGCGTTTAGGGACATCCGAAAGCCGCTTCTTTGAAAACCGTCCCATTATTGTTTCCAGAGCTTTGTGCAGAACTCTTTGATGGAAATAGTGCATCTGGTAATCTCAGCTATGCCACATCCCAAACACCATCGGGACATGGATCATCTTCTTTCCATGGCGCACCACTACAGCTTTTGGACGCCCCTTCCATTAACATAGATGAGGATGATTTATTTTCCAATCATACTAGTGAACATTTTACTCAGACTCCACCTTCTGCTGCTTCACCTTCTGCTGATTCACCTTCTGCTGCTTCACCTTCTGGTAACCCCAACAAAAGGGCTAAACCCTTAACTCCTAGACCTCGAGCTCCTAGTGCCTCACCTGATCCACCTTCTTGTGCCTCGCCTAAAGCTTCTATTACTGCTGATGATTTAGCACTGGAGATGCAAAAAGATCTACGCCATTTGACTCAAGGGCCAACAATTCCCCAATGTTTAGAGAAGCTTGAGTTGCTCGAATTAGACCAAGTAGACCCTCTACGATTTGCTGCGTATCACATTTTTGGAGGGACCATGAATATTAGAGAGATGTGGGTAAATTTGCCTAATGATCCACAAATATTAAGAGGATGGATCGAGATGACAGCTACAAGTTTAGGAGTTTTAAAGGATGGAAAGATTGTTCGTTAAGTTTATATGTTTGAGTTGTTTAGGTTTTAATTGCATGTTTTGGAACTATATGGTTATTTGCTACTTGAATGTTATTTGTAGTATTTGGTACTTGAATGTTATTTGGTTATTTGCTACTTGAATGTTATTTGTAGTATTTGGTAC